ACATATATATACATATATACATACATATATACATATATATATACACACATACATATACATACATACATACATATATATATATATATAAATATATGATTCAATTGCATTAGCTAATTTCAAGTCACCATAATAGAGCTGTAAAAGCAGTGCCTGACTACAGCAGCAGAGGGCGATAAAAGCATGTGTCCTTGACTCTGAGAGTATGTGTGTGTGTTTGTGTGATAAAGATGTTCAATAGCTACAGTGACCTCAAAACCAAGCTCAGCAGCAGTGTGACTGTGTGTGAGTGTACTGGTTTTGGTGGTTTATGAGGTCTTTTTTGTATAATGACATGAGTATGAGAATCAGCACCTCCAAGTCCGAGGCCATGGTGCTCCACCGGAAAAAGGTGGTTTGCCATCTCCAGGTTGAAGGAAAGTCCTTACCCCAGGTGGAGGAGTTTAAGTATCTCGGGGTTTTGTTCACGAGTGAGGGAAGGATGGAGCGTGAGATTGACAGGCGAATCGGTGCAGCGGCAGCAGTGATGCGGTCGATGTACTACTCCGTTGTGGTGAAGAAGGAGCTGAGCCGAAAGGCAAAGCTTTCGATTTACCGGTCAATCTACGTTCCTACTCTCACCTATGGTCATGAGCTGTGGGTCATGACTGAAAGGACAAGATCTCGGATACAAGCGGCCGAAATGAGTTTCCTTCGAAGGGTGGCAGGGCGCACTCTTATGGATAGGGTGAGGAGCTCTGACACCCGGGAGGAGCTCGAAGTAGAGCCGCTGCTCCTCCACATCGAGAGAAGTCAGCTGAGGTGGCTCTGGCATCTGTTTCGGATGCCTCCTGGACGCCTTCCTAGGGAGGTGTTCCAGGCATGTCCCACCGGGAGGAGGCCTCGGGGAAGACCCAGGACACGCTGGAGGCACTATGTCTCTCGGCTGGCCTGGGAACGCCTCGGGATCTCCCCGGAGGAGCTGGAAGAAGTGTCTGGGGAGAGGGAAGTCTGGGGTTTTTCCTAAGACCCGGCCCCGGAAAAGCAGCAGAAGATGGAATGAATGAATGAATGAATGAGTATGACCTAATTGTACTCTATTAAGTTGGTTTATGAGAACAAGCCTGATATCCTTGTAACTCAAAATGCTTAAACATCATGCTTAACGGGGTATTTTGACATAAAAAAGTTGAGGTTTCCTTTGAGGGTTGGTATAGGGCCATATAATAAGCTGTTTTTACAGTATAAAATACATCACGCTTATAGAGAGTCCCCATAAACTACCAACACCAACATGTGTGTGTGTGCGTGTGTTCAGTACCTGTAATGACCTCCTGCACGAGCTCTGCGGCGCTGTGGCATCCGTCCACCAGCAGGTGTGTCCAGCAGGAGAGGTCTTTAGCAGAGTCCACCCTAAACAGATGCGTCTCCACACCCTGCTTAGTGCCCAAACGCAGACCGAACGTCAGCTCTGAGTCATGGACAGAAGAGCTCTTACCCGGACCAGAGTGAACCAGCCTAATACACACAAACACACACACACACACACACACTCATTACTCATCGAGCTCAGAAAATCAGCAGATGTGGCTCTAGTGCATGGGGTGCCCAAACCTTTTCATATGAAGGGCCAAAACCAAATATCATTGATAGCCGTGGGCCAACGATAAATATACCAAATTATTTTACATGCCATGGGTAATCTCCTAATTAATTTCATAATATTAAAAAAAAAAAAAAGCAAAAGAAAGCATTACTTCTGTGGGTTTCCTCCGGGTGCTCTGGTTTTCCCCCCACAAGTCCAAACACATGCGCTGTAGGTGAATTGAGTAAGCTAAAACTGTCCACAGTGTGTGTGTGTGAATGAGTGTGTATGGATGTTTCCCAGTGATGGGTTGCAGCTGGAAGGGCATCCGCTGCGTAAAACAGATGCTGGATAAGTTGGGGGTTCATTCCGCTGTGGTGACCCCAGAATAAAAAAGGGACTAAGCCAAAAAGAATATGAATGAATAAGACTAAAATATTGTCCCCACAAGGGTAGAATTTACTGGTATCACTATATTTGTGGGGACATTTTTTCCTCACAAGGTAACGAATACACACACAAACACTCACTCACTTACTGTACTTCGTTTGCTTTCTGATTTGTCAAAAAATACTTCATTCTGTGTGATTTATGAGCCTTTATCCTCATTAGGACCAAACCCCCACCCCGGGTCAAAATTAACTGGTATTAATATACTTGTGGGGACATTTGGTAACCCCCATTATGTCATGAATACCAGGACCAAACTCACACACATATATGTATGCATATATATGAACACATATATATAAACACACACAGACGCATACTGTACACACTTTTTCTTATACACACAGACAAAAACCGTGGCGACCCCATATTAATAAAGGGACTAAGCCCGAAAGAAATCGAATGAACGAATGAATGAGAAGACATTACTTAGAATTGAATCAACTAATGCAGTATAACATTAATAACTTAACTTATTGCAATAAAAACATAAACAATCACATTTATAACACAGTGGAGGTTAATGCTGAATACAGTTCAATTCAACTCAATTCATCTGTATTTGTATGGCTTTTACAATAGCCCCTTTCACACATACACACCTTTCCAGAAAATTACCGGAAAGGTGTGTATGTGTGAACCATAGACTGTAAAATATATGGACGTAGTATCCGTGACGTCACCCATAGGTTTCTAAAGAGCGCAAAAGAAGCCACAAGTAGGCGTGGCCAACCGTCGCCATTTGGTTGACGCGTCATCACACCCACGGCGGGATACCAAACAAGGGCAAAGAGGCGGAGAGTGAGCGGAGCTGCAGACACCTGCTGGCATTTTGCTTGGACCTGGTTCAGACGGTTCTGGAGCCTACAACTAATTAATCTGTCAGATTCTGGAGTGCATTACAGCTCTAAATATAAATATAAACGATAAATGATCTTAAATAAAACAAATACATGTATAGAGATGGTATATAAGTATATAACTTTACTCACATGGGAAATGGAGGCCACGTGAATGGTTTGTGAGCACAATTAAGTGCACTCAGCATGCCACGCCATCTAATAATTGTAGGAAACAAGTCCAAAAGGCAGTTGACTGTGTAAAGCCACATAAAACAACACAGAAATACGATAAATATGCCGAGTTCAGTGGCTAATCTGCAGGATTCAGCTGAGGTGACGTGACGGCGACCAACGAGACCTAGCTGTCACTCAAGTGGCCACGCCCTTAATTATGCAAACTTAATTTATCTTAATATAAAGGTAACGGATGAGTTATAAAAATATTCACCCCCTCACAGTTGTCATGAAGGGTAATATTAGCTGTATTAACCAAAATCTTTTTATTGTACCAGGCTGTAAACACCTTTTTTAGTGCTGTAAAGTTGGCCATTCTAACAGTGGGCTCAATTGAAATGTGCTCTGTTTTGGAGCCAGGAGCGGCCAGGACTAGCGGAATTTCAGATGAATTGCAGTTTTAGTTACTTCCGTATTGGCTTCCTGAGGGAGAGCGGGAGGTTGCCGCTTGGTGTGAACAGGCCCTTTTTGAAAATACCGGTAAATTCGTTCTGGCTATTTTCCGGAGAGAGAAGTTGTAACATTACCGGTAATTTGCAGGAATGCTGCACTGTGTGAACACAAAGGGAAGATTGCCGGAAAGAGCGCGTGCACGTCTAGAACGTGCTGATGTGAAACGTCTGCTTTAGCCAATCACAACAGTCAGATGCATTCACGTCCGCACGGTTTGTGAGAATAAAAGCCTTTGAATATTTTCCCAGACACATTTAGCTGCTAGAAATTAGTCAGATAACGTTTATTCGTTCATCTTAATGCCAACCGTGTAAATAATTATCCATAAGTTGTTTATGATAAGCCGTTGCTTGTTTGCCTTCAAGCTTTGTGTGTGCCCGTGAAACAGCGGGTGAGCGCCAGCACACAAACATATCATTAACATCTAGACATGCGGAAGTGTTTCTCTATATGTTTTCATCGAAGTTGTTCACAATACTGATCCATCCACAGAGTTTGTGATGTAGTCAAATGTTTACAAATACAAGCGCAGCCGTTTAGAGCTCATTTCTGGTTAATGATGTCAGAATTTACCTGTCAGCCAATCAGAGCAGTGGGTGTTTACTTCTGTCTACAATTGGCCATGCCCATTCGAACCAAGCAGTCTGATGAGCGTCAACATAGTTAATGACTATTAAATGATGATGTTTTTTCTTTATCATGTAAATATCTTCATTAGCGGTCCTCAGAGAGCAGCACAAAACATAACATAACATTAAAGGAAGGGTTAAAAGGGTCATGAACTACCTCTGCTTGAGGGTTAAGATTTGGTTTTGGGTCAACGTTATAGTACGGGATAAGGTCGGTTGTTAGGCAGAGATTACATTGTGTCAATACATTGTCACACAAAAGATAGCTATGCAACTGAGTGTGTGTGTGTGTGTGTGTGTGTGTGTGTGTGTGTGTGTGTGTGTGTGTGTGTGTGCGTGTGCGTGTACCTGGTGGTGATGAGTGGGTAGCTCTTGTCTGGGCTGTTCAGTGTCTCTTTGCTGTCTGGTAAAGCCCCGTAGAGCAGCAGATCTCTGTCCGTCAACACTGCCAGAATGGGCCGCTCTGAACCCTGAACACACACACACATACACACACACAGACAGACACACACTCATCAGAACCAGCATTATCTCATTATGTGTTTGTGAGTGATTATTTGTATCTGTGTGTGTGTGTGTGTGTGTGTGTGTGTGTGTGTGTGTGTGTGGTGTGTGTGTAGTGTGTGCAACTCTATGATGGTGTTTGTTTGTGTCTGTGTGTATAAGAGTGTGTACAGTATGCGTCTGTGTGTGTTTGTATATATGTGTTCATATATATGCATACATATATGTGTGTGAGTTTGGTCCTGGTATTCATGACATAATGGGGGTTACCAAATGTCCCCACAAGTATATTAATACCAGTTAACAGTTGACCCGGGGTGGGGGTTTGGTCCTAATGAGGATAAGGGCTCATAAATCCCACAGAATGAAGTATTTTTTGACAAATCAGAAAGCAAACAAAGCATAGTAAGTAAGTGAGTGTTTGTGTGTGTATTCGTTACCTTGTGAGGACCAGATGTCCCCACAAATATAGTAATACCAGTAAATTCTACCCTTGTGGGGACAATATTTTAGTCTTATTCATTCATATTCTTTTTGGCTTAGTCCCTTTTTTATTCTGGGGTCACCACAGCGGAATGAACCCCCAACTTATCCAGCATATATACGCAGTGGATGCCCTTCCAGCTGCAACCCATCACTGGGAAACATCTATACACTCTCATTCACACATACACTATGGACAATTTAGCTTACCCAATTCACCTGTACCGCATGTCTTTGGATTTGTATGGGAAACCTGAGCACCCGGAGGAAACCCACGCAAACACAGAGAGGACATGCAAACTCCACACAGAAATGCCAACTGAACCAGCCGAGGCTCAAACCAGCGCCATTCTTGCTGTGAGGCAATCATGCTACCCACTGCGCCAAGGTGATGCCATTTTTTAGTTAATGGTTTACATTAAGTCTATGGGACTTCCTCATAAATGTAGTTATTCAAGTGTGTGTGCGTATCACCTGCTCAATGATCCAGCCGATGTGTTTGATGTTCAGGCTGGGCTGCAGTGTTTTGAGCTCATCTTTAGCAGTGTTCAGTAACGCTGCGCTGCTGCTCTGGATGCTGTTATACCAGGCCTGAGCCATGGCGTGATCTTTAGCCCGCAAAAACACAGACGTCTTCCTGTCTGAGGAAACCACCTCGAAATACCTGCAGAATAAAGAGCAACCACCACAACATTATAAACCTCACATCAGAAACTCCATAACTCTTTTTCACACCTGTACAGCAGAGTTATGCACTAAAGGATGTGCTAGATGTAGTTGAAGAATTATTAGCCCTCCTAATTATTTTTCCCCATTTTCTGATTAACATCTGCTTTAATCCTTCATGGCAGAGATTCAACAAGGTGCTGGAAATATTCCTCAGAGATTTTGCTCCATATTGACATGATAGCATCACACAGTTGCTGCAGATTTGTCGACTGCACATCCATAATGCAAATCTACCGTTCCACCACATCCCAAAGCTGCTCTATTGGATTGAGCTCTGGTGACTGTGGAGGCCATTTGAGTACAGTGAACTCATTGTCATGTTCAAGAAACCAGTCTGAGATGATTCATGCTTTATGACATGGTGTGTTATCCTGCTGGAAGTAGCCATCAGAAGATGGAGACACAAATAAAGGGATGCACATTGTCAGCAACAATACTCAGGTAGGCTGTGGCGTTGATGCTTAATTGGTACTAATGTGCCCAAAGTGTGCCAAGAAAATCTCCCCCACACCATTACATCACCACCACCAGCCTGAACCGCTGATACAAGGCAGGATGGATCCATGCTTTCATGTTGCTGACGCCAAATTCTGACCCGACCATCCGAATGTGTGAGCAGAAATGGAGACTCATCAGAGCAGGCAACGCTTCTCCAATCTTCTATTGTCCAGTTTTGGTGAGCCTGTGTGAATTGTAGCCTCAGTTTCCTGTTCTTAGCTGACAGGAGCGGCACCCGGTGTGGTCTTCTGCTGCTGTAGCCCATCCGCCTCAAGGTTGGCCGTGTTGTGTGTTCAGAGATGCTCTTCTGCAGAGCTCGGTTGTAACGAATGCTTATTTTAAAGCTGCTGTTGCCTTTCTATCAGCTGGAACCAGTCTGGCCATTCTCCTCTGACCTCTGGCATCAACAAGGCATTTGCGCCCACAGAACTGCCGCTCACTGGAAATTTCCTCTTTGTCAGACCATTCTCTGTAAACTCTTCAGATGGTTGTGTATGAAAATCCCAGTAGATCAGCAGTTTCTGAAATACTCAGAGCAGCCCGTCTGGAACCAACAGCCATGCCACATTCAAAGTCACTTAAATCCCCTTTCTTCCGCATTCTGATGCTCAGTTTGAACTGCAGCAGATCATCTTGACCATGTCTACCAGCCTAAATGAGTTGCTGCCATGTGATTGGCTGATTAGAAATTTGTGATAACAAGTAGTTGGACAGGTGTACCTAATAAAGTGGCCGGTTAGTGTATATAAATAAATATCTAAAATATTCATATAAAAATATCTGCTTATTCTCATGAAGTGTTTTTTGATTATTCATATGTACTCACAAGCACATAATTCTCAATTCTTAAAAATGTAGCCCCAACCCATGGGAAATGCAATAAATAATATAATTAATTCTTGTTAACTTCCGGCTGCAGCCATCCCTCAGAGCCTACTAGTAAGTGCAGAGGGCCCCTACTGGCCCATATCTATCAGCTGATAACCACTGATAATACCCATTTAATAGAGTGATAACATCAAGTTTACTGGTGTGCGTGAATGTGTGTGTACCTGTCCTCTGGGTCAGGCGGGCACTGTTTGCGGGTCACGTGGCACATGCGCAGTGGGATGGTTCTGGTCTCCTTCAGCGCAGGATCCGTCTGTTTCTGAGGCGTCGCTGGTGGAGAATCCAGCACCGGTGGCCCCGTCGACCCACCCTTAAAAAACGCCGACATCTCCTTAATGTACTTCACTACAGAGACAGAGAGAAAGAGAAAGACACTAATCACTATCACTGCTAATAAAAAGCTCCTATGAAGTGCTTTGAAATGTGCATTATTTATTCGATGTTTAACAATCTAATGAGGATAATAATGAGGAGGGCGGGGCATAGGGTAGCTCATCCCCTTTTTATAAAACAACTAATAGTGTTTTGTTTTTTCAAAGCTCTGCCAGTGAGAGTGGTTGAGCCCAAGCCTATGAGATAAACAGCCAATGAGAAGAAAAGGGCAGGGCATGTCATATACTATGGAGCATTTTGATTGGTCAGAAGATTTGATGAGAAAGTATGAGGTCATGTCAAAAAAATCATTATATATGATCAGTGCTTAATTTGTGAATTGCGAGGTCCTGGAATGTTGCGCAGGAAAGTGTTGTTGATGGTTGGTGTGGTGGATGACTGGGGGGGGATGGGGGGGTTGCGGGTGTTGCAGACGAAAGTGAAGAGGGTTGGGGAGTCGCGGAAGAAAGTGAAAGTGAACAGCGGACAGGGGAGGAGGGCGGTTGAAGTGGGAGATCGGTAAAATGAGGTGCCGGATCCGATTTCAGGGGTGCCGGATCCGGAATGTTCCGCACAAATTAAGCCCTGTATATATATAGTTTTGCATATATGCGTTAATGCATGCAATTAATTTAAAATAATTAACGCGCTAAAAAAAATTAACACAATTGCAGTTTTTTTTTTTCCTGTTGTGTTCGATGTGAGATCAACATGCAAAGAAATATGGATAAGACCAAGGAAGCACATTTCGAAGGCAAGTTTCAGTATAAAACAATTAATGTCGCATCACCAGGCTCTCCAGCGTTTCCTCCAGAGTTTCATGCAATTTCAAGTGTTTCATTTTTAACTTTCAACATCTGTTTTAATGGAGTTTGATACCGCATGGCGAACGGAAAGAAAAACCTCTGCATTTCGGGACTCAGTGGTCCTTTAAAGTAATCAAAAATCACTGCTTACAGACTCTTAATGAGAGTGTTATCTTAAACATAATAAAATCGGAGTATTGGTGTACAATGTTTTATTAAGTTTGATGTGGTTCCCCCTTAAACGCAAGTGTCTGCTTCGCGTTGTTGTGTCAGAATCCTTGTAAAGTATAGCCATACTTTAGAACGCTTAGTTTAAGCAAATTTGATGAACGTGATCATGCGTGTTGAATCTGAGGGGAGTCGCTCCGGCTGCCCTGTCCTGCCCGCGTGTGTGTGTGTGTCTGTGTTTGTGCGCAAGTGCAAGCAGGAGCACGTGTCTTAGCAACAAACCTGCTTAAACGTCGTTGTCTGTAGCCACAAAATCATAAAGTTACGAATTGCCGTGAGATTGCGTTGCACTCTCAGCTCACATCATTCAAAAGAAAAGGTCCACATTGTCCCCCGATAATGTCAACACACTGGACTGTCTTAGCAACTGGATAAATGTAAAGAAGGACTGAGCAAAATTGTTTCTACTTTATAATTAATTTTTACTAACAGCAATACAACTTTACAATGAGTACAATTGTTTGTATTCAATGCTTTATTATTACTATAATTTTCCACATCTGCAGTGCCTGTATTTTACCATTTTTTGCAGTCCACTTAGAATCCAACTTGGAAATCAATTTTTTTCTTTATTGGCATTGATTGTTTTGAAATTCAAATGTCATTAACATGCCTGTGTTTTTATTTTTTATTTCTGTAATAAATATGGCTGTCAAGCCAGGATCTTGATGGTATATATATATATATATATATATATATATATATATATATATATATATATATATATATATATATATATATATATATATATAT